CAGATTCTTACTCTGGATGGCATTACCTTGGCCTCCAGTAATGCTGTGAGGAACCTTGGAGTCATTTTTGACCAGGACATGTCCTTCAATGCACATATTAAACAAATACAGTGGGATGCAAAAGTTTGGGCAACCTTGTTAATAGTCATTATTTTCCTGTATAAATCGATGGTTGTTACAATAAAAAATGTCAGTTAAATATATCATATAGGAGACACACACAGTGATATTTGAGAAGTGAAATTAAGTTTATTGGATTTACAGAAAGTGTGCAACAATTGTTTAAACAAAATGAGGCAGGTGCATAAATTTGGGCACTGTTGTCATTTTATTGATTCCAAAACCTTTAGAACTAATTATTGGAACTCAAATTGGCTCGGTAAGCTCAGTGACCCCTGACCTACATACACAGGTGAATCCAATAACGAGAAAGCACATTTAAGGGGGTCAATTGTAAGTTTCCCTCCTCTTTGAAGAGTAGCAACATGGGGGTCTCAAAACAACTCTTAAATGTTGTGGGGCTGTGTGACCAGTGCAGGGACTGGGAATCTCATCAAAGTTGAGGGACACATGGATTCCACTCAGTATCAGCAGATTCTGGAGACCAATGTCCAGGAATCAGTGACAAAGCTGAAGTTGCACCGGGGCTGGATCTTTCAACAAGATAACGACCGGATACACTGCTCAAAATCCACTAAGGCTTTCATGCAGAAGAACAAGTACAACGTCCTGGAACGGCCATCTCAGTCCAGACCTGAATATTATTGAAATCCTGTGGTGCGAGTTAGAGAGCTGTCCATGCTCGGAAGCCATCAAACCTGAATGAACTAGAGATGTTGTGTAAAGAGGAATGGTCCAAAATACCTTCAACCACAATCCAGACTCTCATTGGAACCTACAGGAAGCATTTAGAGGCTGTAATTTCTGCAAAAGGCGGATCTACTAAATATTGATTTCATTTCTTTTTTTGTGGAGCCCAAATTTATGCACCTGCCTGATTTTGTTTAAACAATTGTTGTAAATCCAATAAACTTAATTTCACTTCTCAAATATCACTGTGTGTGTCTCCTATATGATATATTTAACTGACATTTTTTTTTATTGTAACAACCAACGATTTATACAGGAAAATAATGACTTTTCACAAGGCTGCCCAAACTTTTGCATCCCACTGTATGTAAGACTGCTTTCTTCCATTTGTGCAACATCTCTAAAGTTAGAAATATCCTGTCTCAGAGTGACGCTGAAAAACTAGTTCATGCATTTA